TATTCGGTATAGAATAGAATACTTAGAAAAAAACAACAATGCTGATAAATATATCGAAAAACGAATACAATGCAGGATATATATTAAACTGTATAAATACACCAAGATTTTATTTTTAATTTAATTTTTAAAAATTTAAACCAAAGCAAGTTTTATGACCCATGGATCGGTTTTACGTCCCCTTAGTAACTATATAAATAATATTACACTTTATTAAATTAATTAAAATGATTTAAATAGAAAAATTATAAACTGTATATACAATGATTTACGAACATTAACGACATTAAGATCATGGATTTATATATTTAACGATTGTTATAATAGGCCTACTTTATTTAAATTAAAACGCATTTTACGACCCACGGATCGTTTTTAAGTCGCTATATAAATAATATTACACTTTATTAAATTAAATAAAATGATTTCATTTAGCCTACTTTTAAAGAGTACTTAGATTTACATTGTTGAATGTAGGTTGCAAACATGTGTCTACGACTATACGGTATGTCATTACACAACAAAAAATCATTAGCTCTGTTTTTTTACTGTTGTTTACATTTTCACTCAGATATTCCGGTTTAATGCCATTGTATGGAAAGGACTCAAAACAATTTTAGAACACAGTCTTCAGTCTGAAAATGTAGAACAACACAACAATTGATACCGCAATTAAATCTAACACCATGAAGGCATACAGGCTTGTACAACTACAGTATGGTACACTCTCCACTTACCTATATGTATATTTTCTTACTTAGAAGAACACCATTCCAAAATTCAATACTTTAGAAGATGTTTTTGCGACGGCGTGTCTACGACATAGTTCCGGTAGTTCACATACACGCTTGCTTCAACCGTAATTTGGATATTATGAGACAGGTGCACAACCAAGCAGGTATCTGAAGGAAAATTGCTGCCAAGGACAATAGTGACCTACCAGGCTAAACCATCGTACAAAAGTACAGCATAGGCCTACTGTGCTTTTGATAACATGATGAGTGGATCAGGGAAGGAGCCATATTTACATTTGGACCCATGTAAACGCTCCGCTTTGAATAAACGCTCCTTCTAGAGCCTCATTTGGCATAAACGCCTCTTTCGAATACACCCCGCGTGGCGTATATTTTTTTTTCTCGAATAAACTCGTCCACTGGCTGCTAGTTAAATTGTTAATCAACTTTGAGTTACAGAATAAGACAAAACTAATAATAAGCACGGTTATTTATTATACGAATAATCAGTGATCGCGTAGCACTTCGCATTGAAAGGCTTCTAAATTCTCAATTTCGCAATTCTGGAATTTGCCTCTTTAATAATAGACATCTAATAGATAGTTTCTTTTATTCGCGATAAATCATGTAATTTTCTTTCTTCTTGAGGGTGGAAAAGAACAATTTCCAATTTTTAATGAATAAATAGATATTTATGTCTATGCCGTTATTTCCGCTGGCTCCACCAGTCCGTATAGACGCAGTCATGGTAAAAGAGTGCTCCATCACCAATGTTATGCTGTTTTTAACATTCCACTGCTTTTGATTGACTTTCTTCAAACTGGGTTTCGGCAAAATGGGATTTCGGCAAAGTGGACTAGGCAATCTGGGATTCGGCAAACTGGATTTCGACAATATAGATCCGACGAAACCTCACCACTAGGCCCTCTCACAGCCCCAATCGGACGTAATGCAGTAACGGCGCCATAGATTTCCCAATATGAAGATCCAAATTTCTCGACAATCCATGCCAGGAAATTTCATCCTGAGACTGTAAAAGCAGTGTTGGCTACGAAATTTTTCGATGGGAAATCCACGATCCCGTTTCTCCAGATCATCTATCCCACACCTCCGCTGGTGGTGCCGGACACTGATGTTTTCCGATTTCAAATATAAAGACCTTTTTTGAGGAAGTGCACTTATATGGCATTTTCTTCTTACTGATTTGAGTAGACATACATTACATTATAAACAGAGAAAAACAATAGAAAGTTCACTCATAAATACTGGACGGTGTTCGGCGGAGGTAGTTTTTACCATGTAGTTTAGTCACTTTTTAATATATAAATTATTATTCCATAAATAAATTAGAAATACCGGGGGTGACTTGTGGGGGATAATTTTACCTGCGTTATAATTAGTGTATCTAATATATTGTTTACAGCTTACTACTACATTTTCTACTCTGAGCCGACCCTTACAATACTAATTCAATGTAAATATTATGTTTACAAATGACTATAAAAGGATACTGAGCCAACAGCTCTAACTCCCATACTACAGAGGAGATAATGAACCAGTCCGCTAAGCTCCAACCCAAAAAAACAAAAACAACAACCCTAGATGCCTGGAAAAAACATCAACCTATAGAGCCACTTCCCCTAGTAGGCGACTAGACATCCTACCCATGCTCTGCATTGTTAGGGCAAAGGTGAGCAAATTTTGCTAAAATCAAAAATTTAAAAGAAGTTTTCAATATGATTCCTAACAGGAGCTTGAAATGCATAGGCTAATAGTGCTACAAAACACGTATATAGTGTGAAACATTCGAATGACATTGAGATGCAAAAATTATTAATATAATTTTTAGGTAAAAGTATAGGCCTATGTATTTTTTGAAGTAATAAAAAATGAGAGAAGAATTGGTCCGGCCAAAGCCGGTGCGGTTCCGACGGCCATGATTTTGCGATCACTGGCCAGAAACAGTTTCCCATTTATTCTGGGATTGTAACATCACTACTAGATTTTGGCATGATGTTAAGAGTGTTATTTGCAATTACAAAATATTTGCCTGGGAATTAATGATGTTGACAATAAGCATTTTAATCCTGTTATTCTGCATGCTAAGTATTTAATATAGGTATATATATTCATGTAGGTGTCGCAAAAAAAAAACAAACAAAAAACCCAATATTGTTAACAAACTTAATTTTGAGATTATGAATGGTTAATCTATATTAACAAATAATTATGTACAATGCCAAGCACTCCTGTAATTTGCAGTTATGACCTACTAGTTGTTTTTTGCCTGTTTGTTGTTGGTATGTATATATATATATGTAGGCCTATGTATGCATGTATGTATATACATATTTTGTATATATATATATATATATATATATATATATATATATATGTATGTATGTATACGGGAGAAAATTTAATAGTAAGATTTGGAATAATCATAAAAACACTGCCACTTTACTATTTTACAAAATACCTGGTTTATTATGAGAATTGTTTTGAATCATAGAGATGGAGATAAATGTAAATGTATGTGGGTGACGTATCAATTAAAATATTGGTATTGATGATATAATAAAAAAAAAACCAAAGTAAAAAAAAAAAATATATATATTTTTGGTGACTCTAATAGTAACTCCATGAGAGTAGTGGGTTATTATAAATTAACTTCTAGGGCGGGTCACTATTAGATATTAGAAGGGGGTTACTAATAGAGTACAGTAATGGGTTTTTTTTAATAGAAGCTTTACAGTCAATATAAAAAATACAGTGCTCAAATAGAGGGATTAATAATAGTACTGTAGCCAAATATCATACCTCTACACCTTGTGAATACCTATTAATCTGCCGATATATAAATATATATATTCATATGGAATCGATGAAGTCAATGATGTTCCACGTATGCCTCGAAGGTACAGAATAAGAGAGCGATTGTTAAAACAAACGCTGGACACTGACTTAATTTGAGACATATACAGTACATTTATAGTGCCTCTGCCACCTATTCTGACAATTTGTATAAACTACAGCGTGTTTATATTTATAACACAAGTGTTGGTCATAAATTACGAATAAAATTGATTTTGTACGAAAAAATGAGTTTAAAGTGTCATTTTTGAAAGACCTTAGAAACAACGAGGTCACTCAATGACGTCATTGGTGACCGACTTTGCCAAACTTCATCCAAGCGCGAAATCAAAATAAACACTGCGACGGTGGCCTAGTGGAGGAAGAAAAGCCCCAGCTTCTACCCTAGGCTGTTAGTTAGTATATTACAGTTTCCCGAGTTTTACACAATATGCCAGTAAATTGTGTTGTAGGGGGTTATAAGTGCACACGAAGTAAATGTTTTACGTTACCTAAAGATAGTAAAAAAAGACGTTGTTGAGTTAACTTTGTCAATTTTACAATTCAAATTTTCATGGGCTGGATGATCGAGCACAAGTCAAAGGATTTATGATACCGTACGTACAGTACCTACACCTAAAAAACCCCCCAAAAAACAGAACATCGGATTTTTCCATTCCAAAGTGAGTAACGACCGCAAAGAGACAATTGTGAAGGTTTACAACTTTAAAATTATTGTGATGTTTCTATGCACGTTGAGACCAAGTCGGCTATGCTAACCTATGTAGGGCCTGCATGTCTAAAATATATTACATAGGCCTAGGCCTACAACTAAATGTTATAAGCATGGAGGAATTAGTTTTATAACACGTTACAAAGACGTTACAAAACAACGATAATTCAACAAACAACACATACATGAATGTAGGTACTGTTGTAGTTGTAGTCTGGGCCTAACAGTAATGTATTTATAATTCATTGAGAATTCACCTCGTTTACTGTACCTTTTTTATTTACTCGCGAAAGGCCACCTTATAAGTTATTATTAAGTGTTCTGTTTTTTTTTTGGTGTAGGTACTGTACGTACGGTATCATAAATCCTTATTCTTCCATCATAAATAAATAGTTCATGTGTATTAAAAATGGATAGGAAGAGTGTTCGCGCGTTTTATACATGTGACAGTATGTGCGCGCGTAACAAACAAAAGTTATAATTTTGTAATAAAGCGCTAGCTAGAAAAACGTATTTTTTATTCAGTCATTCATAGCGCAAGGACAAAGACATGGATATGCCTAGGTAGATATAAGCCTTTGTAGAAACTTGAACCATGAAGGCGAAATGTTCGATCTTCTGGTCTTCAGCATCTTTTACCGAAACCGCCGCAAAATCAAGATTGCTTTATCATCAACCAAAAAATGGGATGTGATTTTTTTT